CCCGCCCCCCCACCACACACACACACACAGACACACCATATTAGACATGTGCAAAGACTAAATGAACGCAAACTGAAAATGTTTTCATTAGTTTCGTCAAATGAAACTAATTTTTATGCTATTTGCTGCCGCCATCCTGGAGGCGGGGCGCATGACGCCGTGTGTGCGTGGCATGGCATAGGGTGACATAACACGTCTGTTGGGGGGCACAATTTTCTGTTCTTGCCTCAGGCGGAAAAAGAGCTAGCTACGGCTCTGCTCAGTATACCACGACCTGCAGCTCCTGTTACCCTTCGGAGAACTATGGGGAAAAGCCCTAACCCCATAGTTCTCCTTTAAGTGTTTGGCCACCAGCCTTACACACATCTGCATTATAACACTGATATTAGCGCAACTCTTTATCAAACCTAAATTTTCAGCAAAAAATACACTTAAATTTATTTTAATGCACATAAACACAATATAATACCCAATGAATTTATTAAATATAAAAGATGAGGTTGTGGCGAGCAAATAGATACCAAACATGCCAAGCTTCAAAATTGCATGTGCCCGTGAAATGGCAAAAAGCTACAGTCCCCAAAATTCTCCATAGGCGACGCTTTAAAATCCCGTACAGGTCATCAGTTTAAAGTTAACATGAATATTAGAATTATTGCTCCCACTCTGGTGCACGCGACTTTAAAAATGTTTGGGGGTTTTTTAAATTTATTTTATTTTACTTAATTTTTATAAGACTCACAAGCCGCCTATGTAATAGCACTTTAGTGGTGACAGGTCCTCTTTAAGGAGACCTTAGTGTTATCGTTGGAAATGGTGCAAGTTTATTGGGTGATATTTTCCATAAACTAAAGACTAAATGATGTGTGTTTCTGTTTTTCAGTCCTTACATTTGTGCCTCGAGTCTGATCCCTCTCTTTACTGGGAGATTTAAGAGGAGGAGCCATACTGAAGTCATGGAGCCGCCATTCTTAGGTACGCTATGTGTCCACTGCTGCCCAAACATGAACCAAGAGTAATCAGCAATGCAAGTGATTTGAGCTTCCTGGTAGATTTCCTTCCATTGAGTTCTTCTGAGAAACAGATTTGAGGGTATAACCATTACCAAACTCTAGTAGGGGGAACTTACTTGGGACCGCAAGATAGTGAATGTAGACCTCTCGCTTAGACTACTGGCTGGCCTATGGTATTGCAGTCTGGGATGAGGTCTCCTCTTTCATGTTCCATTGGTGGATGTTTAAAGTGATTGTGTTCTTTGCCCATGTGAGACAACAGGGTTACTTAGAGTTCATGTACAGTCATAGTTGTATGAGGAAGAATTAGAATCCCCTAGACCAGTGGTTCTCAACCTGTCTAACCTCAGGACCCACATTTGTCCTTGGTCATTAAGTCAGGACCCAAGTTGCACTGCAATGGAACGCAACAGCATTGCTGTACTGCGAGTTCCGATGAGGGCAATAGAACTGTGGGTGAGAGGTGCGTTTGGGGTGCCATTCAAATGAATGGCAATGCAATGCACTTCTCACCCTACAATGTGTGGTAGGTGCGATTGCGTGGTACAGTGCGTTAATCGCACTGTACAGCATATTTTGAATAGCTGCTTGGCGCGAGAACTGACGGTGCTGCGCTAGGGGGAGGCTGAGGAGCGTCTCATCTAGAAAAGTGGAAGGCACATGGGGACCCACTGAACACAGGGGCACGACCCACTTTTGGGTCACGACCCCCCAGTTGAGAACCAAGGCCCTAGACATTTTTTTAGTGCTATCTTGGGCTCCGTTAGATTTTCCCTAATTGTTTTGGCCTTCTATAGATAGGAAGTCAGGGAAAATCTGGGTATACAGACAGAAAAAAGTGGCGGGGGTTTAACCTTACCACACTGTAGCATTTTTATTTCTATCTCTGGTGCTGTTGATGTGTCCATCTAGTAAGGACAGACAGGAAGGTAATGGAAGTCTCTCCAGCAGAGCCATGGATAGAGCTAAAAACCCGACAGCTTCTAATCCTTCACTTAAAATTTTGGCTAGATGTACACTTTGCTAGCCCCTCCTTTCCTCGCTGCTTATACTTCCCGTAACTTCTGTTCACCTGCTGGATCCAAGTGAAAAAAGCCCTTTCAACACTCCATGTCAACCTGGTCAGAGCATACATAGGGCTCATGTGACAGTGCTTGGACCTGGCAATTGGCCACGTTGGCACCTGGGAGGAAGGGGAGAGTCACATGTTTCCCCCATACCTGGAAGTATCATGTATGGGGCAACATACAATTATCATCTGGATATCTGATAAAGTTTATCAAGAATACCACACCGGTCATTGTATAAGTGTATAAGCCTTGATTATTTCCAGTGGGAGGAGGGAATTTTTGGTGAGAAGGTTCTTTAGCATATGCTGGACATGGTGGTCCAATAAAAAACCCTTTTGGAGTCCCTGTCCCAATCCTTCATTTGTAATTGCCTTGCCTAGTGGCCTTGTGACATTGGATATTGTGGAGGGTGTACTGGCTGGTGTTGGGTCTTAGTTTTGAAAGACTCTGCACTTTGTTTGCTGGTTTAGTGTTCTGAACCCTTTCCTATTTGTGGCCACTGCAAAGCCATAGATTATGCCGTCCATGGCTTGGCAGTGTCCACATATAACGCTAGGCCATTATGTCACATGTGTAAACCAGCTCTATAAGGCCACACTGGTGACATAGTGACCAGGAAAGAGGGTGTCCACAGCACGAACAAGGAGACGCGGCCTTCTGACTCACCCAGAATTGTTGGATACTACAGATCGTAGATGTTCTTCTAGCTCTGCATGAGATCCAAGACTGGATTCAACGGAGGCGGCAATGGTAAGTATAATACATGTTTATTAGAGACTCTGTGGTTAGAATATGTTTCCTGACAGCAAACATGGCAACATACTGATGGGTATAGCTCCGCCCCCCGCCCATCAGTATGCTGCCATGTATTTGTGTCAGGAAAGGAAAATGACCGATAGGTAAGTATACAATTTTCTGTTTTCCTGACACCAAATATGGCATCATACTGATGGGCGGGGGGCGGAGCTATACCCAGCAGCATGTGTTGAGGTCAGGAAAGGAAAATGATATGTAAGTATATAATTTTCCATTTATAAACCTAATAAGTAAATAAATGAATGAATTTGCCCCATACTATTACACCTATCCTTTAATAGAAGAGGAAGGGGCCCTTTAATAGAAGAGGAAGGGGCCCTTTAATAGAAGAGGAAGGGGCCCTCATTTGTTAGCAGCATGTATATGGACATACCCAGTGCTGACTGTTTTCTGAATTCTGGAACTGAGCACACTGCCCGGTCTTGGTGGCAGACTGCACCTAACGTGGATTCAGAGGGATATGTGTTGATTGGCGGTTGCCTGGAGGAAGACGCGGTCTTGTGGTTTTACAGTCAGATTCTGTTATCTATCAATCTTGTCTTCCGCTGAGTAATGTGTGATGTGTAACACATGAAAGGAGAAAGGCCGGGGAGATGTGGGAAAGACCAAAGGAGGAAAATTTCATTTCTAAATGTGGTGCCAAAGAAGACAACTGAGAGGAACGAAAGGGGACGGTGACTGAGAAGGAGCAGCGCCCATAGACATCGTAGATTATGGGTCAGACACAAAGCTGAACTCAGGGGGGATATAACAATATCATGCAGTTGTATGTTAATATATATATATACTGAATTATATATTTCTAACAGAGGGAGAGCAGAGGGATGACGCATCACGGTGCTGCTGCTGCTCCTTTACTGTCCAGTCACAGGCTGGGGGCTGGGAGGTGGCCACTAGCCAGGCTGGATTGCCTGAATGTATTAAAGAAATTCTCCCATTTATAAATTTCAAATGTGGATTTAGCCGTTTGTCTAAAGTTTAAAGCTAGACTCAAGGCTCAGATGTAAATTAAAAGAATGCTCCACCTTTGTGACCATGTTTTATGTTACACCTATATACAGGGTGCCAAAATGAAACATAAGCATAGCTCCTATTGCCAATCCTGAAACAGCCCCCCACTCACTTGAATGGCGATTGTGCATGCTGGCCGGCGTCCCGTCCAGCTCCTGGGTAGTGATGACACTGGTTGCCAGGGGCTGAGTGGGACCCCGCACAGAGCTTCTTAAGTAGGGGGTGGCATGCATGCTTGTCAGCCTGTGCCCCCCCACGTGACTGTAAGAGATGCCGCCTGAGGCAAAAGCTTCAGGCTGCCTCATTATAGGGAAGTCCTGGATTTTCTAAAGCACAGGAAGTACATGGTAATCCAAAATGTGGAGTTATCACTGGGAAATGAATAAGGGGATTCTTCCAGTGGGGATGTCTGTTTCGGTGACAGAAGAAAGGATTGCCCTTCAGTTTGGAGTGATTTTTTCTTACTTCCTGTTTTGTTTCTGGGACAGGAAGTGAAAGAAAATCTCTGCAATGGTACATACACATATATAGTAACATAACTACAAATACTAATGTGGCTTTTTTGTAGCAGAATTATAAACCTTTTTTTTTTTTTACTTTTCAAAGTATTTTATTGGTTTTTAACAATTTTTACAAAGAAGTAAAAAGATGTAACATTGGTACATAAGCGTTTACATAGACATATGCATACATTAAGGTCATATGCATGTACATTCAAAAGTGTAATAAAACTGAACTAACAGTCCTGGGACAGCCCCTGTGGGAACCGATCAGTCGAAATGGTATTGTATAGACATAACAATTCTAGGTGACTGTCCGAAGAACTCAATGAAACAAAAAGATCCAACGGATCTTAAGGTAGGTCTGGGGGAACTGAGCAAAAAGGGGGAGACAGTGGGTAGGGGAAAGAGCGAGGGAGGGGGAGAAGAAGAGCGCTTCCTACAGGCTTCCGTGATGAGGTCTAAGTGTGGTATAGGTATAGTTGGGTAACTTTGGGACAGCCTAACATTAAAGGGACAAAAGCTGCCGATCAAAGGATGGAGGGAGGAAGTGAGTGACCCACGGGTCCCAGATTTTCTCAAATGTAGGCATGGAGTCCTGCACGCGTGCAGAGAGCTTCTCATTATAAAACGTCCAATGTACTTTTTTCTTGACTTCTGATAAGCTTAAGGATTTTGACATCCACGCTCTGGCTATTGTGCGTTTAGCTGCCGACAGTACATGTGACATCAGTTCCCTTTTAAATTGTCGTTTTCGCATAAACCTTAAAGGAGAACTATGGGGTCATTGCTTTTCCCCATAGTTCTCTTTAGGGTAACGGGAGGACACAAACTAGCGTCCTCCCGTTACCCTAAGCTCAGTATACCGCGAGCTACAGCTCACGGTATACTGAGATGCCGCAGTATACCACGAGCTATAGCTCGCGATATACTGAGACGCCGCAGCTGAAGCGGATACCGACAATTATGTCTGGATCCGCCCAGCTGCGTGAGTGACAGCTGTCTCTGCCTATCCAGAGGCAGAGCCAGCTGTACCTGCCCCCTCCCCCATCCGTTCAGCCAGTCAGAGCTGGAGTATCGGAGCGGGGAGGGGAGAATCCAGTCACTCCCCTGTCACGGCTCTCTGCAGTGACAGGATCGAGAAGTGAGCGAGCGACGGTATGTGTTCGCTCACTTCCCAATCTACTGAGCCGACCTGTGACAGTCTCATTGTCACAGGTCGGCTAGAACTATGAGGTGAGTGAAAAGCACTCACCTCATAGTTCTCCTTTAAAGGTCGTATGAGTTTTTAGCTGACTGGGATTTTTAGCCTCAGAACAAGAATGTAATACATTGCAGCTTACCAGTCCTTAGGTTTGGAACCTACATTTAATTTAAGGATTTTTTCCCCCTTATATTTTCACCTGTTGATCCGGCCAGTGACAAGCTTCCAGTCCTAGGGTGACAACGCTACTCACCATGTTATATCTATGGAGGGGCAGCGTTGTCAACCTAGGACAAGTGTTTTAATACTTTAGAACAGCTCCCCTGCTCCTCACCTCCATTTTATAGGCAGGAGATTTTGTTGTAGTTCATAGACGGTAGCTGGGAAAGCTGATGGCATTGTTTGAGATTTCAGTTCCATGCACATGGATTGTCAAGGACACTGGAATTCTGGCAGGATCAACAGATATTTTCTGTACTTGCCGAAAATGTACTTAGCCTGAAAAATAAAACCCCCCGTACTGCAAGGGTTAAGTGTTTGTTTTGGTCTAGGGGGCTCAATAAAGCAGATGTTCTCACCTGATCCTCGATCCTGTGGCCCATCACATATAGTTAGGCCTTGTCTAAAACCACACTTATCCTTTAATATAAAAAAGTGCTGTGTTCCCTTTAAATGCACTGCCCATTTAACTCTTTCCTTTCCTTCCGCAGTAAGGCAACCACAGAAAGTCGCCCGCCGCGTCTTCACAAACAGCCGCGAGCGCTGGAGGCAGCAGAACGTCAATGGGGCCTTTGCTGAGTTACGGAAGCTGATTCCCACGCACCCTCCCGATAAAAAGCTGAGCAAGAACGAGATCCTCCGCCTGGCCATGCGATACATCACCTTTCTGGTGACTCTGCTGAGCGACCAGCACAACCAGACCTCCAAAGCCACCCCCGCCAAGATGAGGTTCCCACAGACTATCTGTGATCTGGTGCAGAAAGGTCAAGAGAGTCTCAGCCCTGAGGAGAACCTCCAAGAAAAGCAGAAAGCTGCCAAGGAGTTCCATGGAATCGTGTCCCCGTTGTCTGGCAGCTGCGGGGACAGTGCAGAGACTGAAGAGGAAGAAGGGGACAGAGAAAGTGTTTCGTCTTCAAGAAGCGCGGACATGACAATAATCACTCCCGAAGTAGGAGGAAGTCGGTGAGGGTTGGGGAATGAAGGAGATCGAGACCAGAGAAACCTTTATCTCCTTCATAACTTTTTTTGATGGACATGTTTCTCAGTGGGTTGAAAATGTACATTTCTTTTTTTTTCCCACAAACATTTTAACATTTTTGTACAAACACACAGCTACATTGATACAGTCACGATCAAGATCTCGAAACAGAGCAGCACAATAATAACAAGTGTGCCTTGTTACATATAAACAAGAAAAGGGGGAACAAAAAAAGGACAATGGAAAGCCGACCCAGGGGCCATCAGGACAAAGTAGGGGAACCAAGGCCTGAAGAGTAATCGGTCTGGGGGTGAGCATTTTTTAGGCCAAAGGCGTACCTTCCAACGCTCCCCCTTAAGCCAATCATGAGTGTGAGAGAACAAGTAGACAGCCAACTCCTTTGAGAGTTGGGGGGGTGGGGGGGCAAAAATCAGGACAATGGAAACACAAGGGGCCATCAGGGCAAAGTAGGGGAACCGAGACCCATAGAGGAGTTGGTCTGGGGGTGAGCATATTCTAGTCCAAAGAGGTACATTCCAGCGCTCGCCGTTTAGAAACAATAACCAGCTCTACCCTCTTGTCTCCAATCCCATTGCTTGAACCTCAGTGCCTGGTAAAGCTTCCACCAGAGCCTTCACTGAACAATAGCAACATTCCAGCGCTCGTCCTTAACAGAGAACTATGGGGTACATTTTTTTCCCCTATAGTTCTCTTTAGGGTCATGGGAGGACATATACTAACCTCCTCCAGTGACCCAAAGATCAGTATAGCCCGCGATATACTGACAGTCACCTCTCTCTGCAGGGAGATGATTCGAATGTGAGCGAGCGACGGTATGTGTTCGCTTACTTCCCGATCAATTGAGCCGACTTGTGACAGCTTCTTTGTCATAGGTTGGCTCTAACTATGAGGATGAGTGGAAATTACTCACCTCATAGTTCTCCTTTAAGCCAATCATGAGTGTGAGAGAACAGGTAGACAGCAAACTCCGTTGGGGCTGGGAGGAGAAAAAACAGGACAATGGAGAGCCCAGGGGCCATCAGGACAAAGAAGGGAAACCAAGGCTGTAGAGGAGACAGTCTGGGGGTGAGCATATTTTAGGGCAAAGGGGTGCATTACAGCGTTCTCCTTTAAGCCAATCATGAATATGAGAGAACAAGTAGATGGCCAACTCCATTCTATTGAAAAGGACCAGATGCCTTCCCACCACAGTTGATTGGGCAAATGTCTTTTGGGCAACTGAGGGCACCGGTTTAGGAGTTCAGTCTTCCATCTCCCTTGACATTTCTATTTTTTTTTATTTTTTCCCCCCCATAATAAGACAATAGTCGATTTTACTAATGTATAGATGAATCTACTAAGGTAGTGATGAGCAATCAGTCTGTTATCTTGGTCACAAATATGGCCCCTACCACTTCCTAATTGCTGCAGATGACATATTTCTTAAGGTGAACCTGTGCTTCGGCCACGTAGGGCAAAGCAAAAGGTGCACCTTGCTCCAGCATACCCGCTACTTTTTTTTCTTTGAATTTGACAACATTGGGTGCCTGAGACACCAATTGGCAACCAACACTGCCACTTGGAAGGAAGAAGAATGAATCACATGCTCTCCATACTTAGGTATTTCACCATCTCCAGGCAAACCCAGGGAATACGAGTATGTGCAACTCCAGGGGCCAGCATTAAAGCAAACCTGTTGCTTTACCCAGCTTGGACCTGTCACAAACAAACAAGTGCTAATGCTAAACCAGGTCAAATGCACATCAACCACACCTACAATGAATTCTGATGTATCTCAGAAGCATCTCAAAGTGGTGGCCAAATACACGGGACCAACAGGATATGTGTTTATAAAAAATCTGAGGCGACACAGTGCATTTGTTCTTTCTGCCCCCTCTGCTGATGTCACAGAACTCATTCTCCCCGTCGGTAGTTGTATACGTACCAAAGCCTGGGGCCTTCAACATTCGTTTACTTCCAACACCAAACTTCTCTCACTGCTGGCCACACCTGTGCAGAAGAGCCCCATAGACTTCAGTTGGGTCCACCTACCTCCATCTCCTGATCAGTATGTAAACAAATGCGGGAGGCCCTAGGCACCAGATCTCTGTAAGTATACATCTACGGACGGGGAGGGCTGTCTTTGTGAGGTCAGGGGAGGAGGGCACTTTCTGTGAAAGAGCACTTATTGTTTAAATAGCTAAAGGGTATTTCCAGGAAAATTGGAATCCATGTCTGTATGGACCTTGCTTTGTGCACTGGTGCGCAGTCATGTTGTCATTTTATGTGGCCTACCACTTTGTGGCTGAGTTGCTGTTGTTCCCAGTTGCTTCCACTTTGTTATAATACCACTAACAGGTGACCGTGGAATATTTAGCAGCAAGGAAATGTCACGGATGGACTTATTGCACAGGTGACAACCTATCACGGTACCACGCTTGAATGGGTCCTGAGAGTGACCCATTCTTTCACAAATGTTTGTAGAAGCGTTTGCATGCCGAGGTGCTTAATTTTATACACCTGAGGCCATACCCTTCGTTCAACGTAATCAACTACCAGCCACATGATACCCCAGCAGACACGTCAACCTTAAAATACTGGCATGGCATATGCAGCACATGGCCCACTTACAGTATCACAGTTTAAAGCTAAGACTACCTGCACTGGCCAATCATCAATAGCTTCATGGGTGGGCTAAGCTACAGTTGGCTACTGAATGTTCTACACAAATTTCCACGTGTCCACATTTTCCCAATAGCTACAATTTTTTAAATATTTTTAAAGGGTGCAGCAGATATGATAAAATTAACAACTAAAAGAGAACAACACAACAATGTTTAGGCTTCGCCAATGGATTATCAGACTTGCCACATATGAGCTCCTTTACCTGTCCTCAACAAAATTCTAGTAAAATGAACCTGCTTCACTGTCTTGTTTGTCTTGCTCGACTGTAAAATGTATTGTGAATATGTACAGACATGCAGAGAAGAGCAGACACCGTAAAGCACTGCGTAATCGTAAATGCTTTAAGCAAAACGTGTCAAGGTTTCTTCTTTGATGTCTGTTTTTCTGTGCATGATTGTATATCTTCACAATACATTTTTATGATCAAGCAACAAGCGAATGAAATGGTTACAATGTACTGGAATTTTGTTGAATATATCACGACCAGGCAAGGTGTTAAAGTCACAATCCCTGAAGAGTGGGGTAGGTAATGCCAGCAAGTCTCTGTGGCCATCTAACTGTTCTGGACAGTCCATAAGCACCTTTTAGGAGATAAGATGGTTAAAGAAGTTATAATTCAACCAATTTTGTTTGGATTGAGCCCAATAGCTTACTTTATTATAAGTAGTATCAAAAATAATTCATATAAACACGGCACCATCACCAAAAATGATGGTGATGGTGCCATGTTTATATCAATTATTTTTGATACTATTTATAAAAAGGTAAGCCTTTGGGCTCAATACAAACAAAACTGGTTGAATTATAACTTCTTTACTCATCTTCTCTCCTCAAAGGTGGTATTTTTGTTCTGTATGCTTTCAAGTTATTGACCAATCCAGGGGAATTGTGTGATAAGTAGAACAACATGTTACATATTAGCCCTACGCACAGACATTATAGGTGCTGAATGAGGGAAAATTCTGTATACAGGAGCTTCATTTGACATATAAATGAAAACCTGTAGTGACACATATATGCCGTCTGCCATTTCGGACCCTTGCTTCTGAAACAGCCAGTTACCTGGTTGTCATGCTGGCCCAATGCAATCTATACCTTCTGACTCTGACATACTGACAAGTATGCAGGTCAAGCGTTTTTACTCCACACTGACATTCCAATCTGAATGCTTGTTAACGGTCAGTGATTCAGAAGGTACTGAAGCTAGAAACCGACAACTAGCATTTTCAGAAGCAAGTCAAGAATAGCAGCCTCTATATTCCTTTAAAAAGACACTGTCTCTTTGCTCATTCACCCACCTGTGTTCAGTAGCTGCATTCCTGATGCAAGAGGCCAGCCTGAGGAAGCCCTGGGGTCTGACGCAGGAGGGGTTCCTAAGGAAGCCCTTGGGTGTGATGTAGGAGGCCAGCCTGAGGAAGTCCTGGGGTGTGATGCAGTAGGCAAACCCCCCCCCCCCCCCAGTAACTCCCGGGGTCCCTCAGGGGGGGCGGC